CCCGTTGCAGAGCACAGGCTCTGGACGCGCAGGCTCAGCAGCCATGGCTCACGGGCCTAGCTGCTCTGCTAGGGGAATATCTGTGGGATATTCCCGGACCGGGACACGAACCCGTGTCCCCTGAATCGGCAGGCAGACTCTCAACCACTGCGCCACTAGGGAAGCCCTACGTGTCTTTTTTTATTTTTTTTTTAAACTGTGTTGGGTCTTCCTTGCTGTGTGCAGCTTTCTCTAGTTGCGGTGACTGGGGGCTACTCTTTGTTGTGGTGCGTGGGCTTCTCATTGTGGTGGCTTCTCTTGTTGCGGAGCACAAGCTCTAGGCGTGCGGGCTTCAGTAGTTATGGCACGCGGGCCCAGTAGTTGTGGCTCACGGGTTCTAGAGCTCAGGCTCAGTAGTTGTGGCACGTGGGCTCAGTAGTTGTGGCACACGGGCTCTAGAGCACAGGCTCAGTAGTTGTGGTGCACAGGCTTAGTTGCGCCACGGCATGTGGGATCTTCCCAGACCAGTGCTCGAACCCGTGTCTTCTGCATTGGCAGGCAGATTCCTAACCACTGTGCCACCAGGGAAGTCCCAATATAATATTTTATATATATATATATACATTTTTTTTTTTTTAAATTTTGACTATCTTGGGACTTCCCTCGTCATGCAGTGGTTAAGAATCCGCCTGCCAGGACTTCCCTGTACTTATTTTGGTCAGTTTTTATTTCAGAAGGGTTGATAGTATTCTACATCTGACCAATTTTTAATATATACATACACATATATAGGTCTGTATGTATGTATATGTACAACGTATATACAGATTTTAAATGGCTCTATATTATTTAATATAATTAATTTGGAATCTTTTTCAAACTAATACAGAAGTTGCAAGTGTGGTACAAAGAACTTTTCTAGAAGCATTTGAGAGTAAGTTGCTAAAGTGATGCCTCATCATCCTGAATACTTGAGTTTGTATTTTTATTAAAAAGGAAATATATTTTCCTATGTAACCACAATACAACCATCTATTGATGTATAATATTATTACCAGTTATTCCTCAGAATGTATTCAAGTTTCACTTTTTATCTTAATATTATCCTTTATAGCAAAAGCATCCAATTCAGAATTACACATTGCTTGTAAATGTCATGTCTCTTTAGTCTCTTTCAGGAGGGAAGAGTTTCTCAGTTTTTGTTTTTGTCTGTTTTTAATGACCTTGACACTTGAAGATTATGGGCCCAAATTATGTAGAATGTCTCTCAATTCAGATTTATCTGATTTCGTCCTCATGATAAGATTAAATTACACATTATTTGTAGTAATATCACAGAAGTAATGCTATCCTAACTTCAGTAGTAAGTTGTTCTTTGCTTTTCTTTATGGTTTTTTGCTTTTCTTTATAATTTTTTCATTTTATCTGTTTTTTTGAACTCTATGTAAATGCAATGTGTTTATTTTTTGTGTCTACTCAACTTATTTCTTTGGGATATTCATCCATGTTGTTGCATATAGCTATAGTTGGCATGAATCCCAGAAGCAATATAAGAAAGATAAATTTGATTATGTAAAATCAAATGCCAAACTGGGAATACTTGTTTCTCGTATATCCTGTAAATGGAATATATACATATTTCTTACAAATCAGTAAGAAAAAGATGAAAAGAGTATTTTGTATGTTTGTACCATTTGATCTACTTTATAACAGAATAACAGTGTGCATGTGGTAAAAATGAATTACATATATCCATATACTAACATGAGAAGATTTCTGTGGTATATTGCTTTTTTTTTTTTTTAAGCAGTTTGCAAAATACAGAATAGTGTACATAGAATGATACCATCTTTGGAAAAAATATCATTATTATGTGGAATTTTACTATATATAGAGAAAATTTAGGAGATACACTGCAAAGCTTTTTATTAGAGTGAGAGTGGAATTATAAGGACTGTCACTTTTGGGGGAGGGGGCTGTCATTTTCTTTCTTAAGTTTACATGTGTTTACATTTTTTTATGTCTCGTTTTTCTAGAACCAGCATGTAGCTATATTTTCATTTTAAAGAATGAAATAAGAGCTTGATTTTTCTCTATTATTTTAAATACATTTAGTTTTTATTGTATAGAATATATATGTCTCTTATTTCTGTATATTTTTCTATTCTTTTTACATGCACAGTATGTTTTTCAGAGAAAGATAAAACATATTAGGGGCTTTATCACTTTCTTTCTTTACTTTCCAAGAGAATTACCTTTAGAATTACAGGGAGTTTTTGATAAAGAGGAGGTCGATGTTAAAGTTGAAGATAAGAAAAATGAAGTATGTATGTCAACGAAGCCTGTGTTCCAGCCCTTCTCAGGACAGGGTCACAGACTGGGAAGGTGAGTAGGCTCATGATCTGTAATTTCCATAAGCAGAGGTTTGACTAATATTCAGCTTGTCATTATTTTACTATGTAGACCACATATATAGAGTTATCATTTCTCCCATTGGAAATGAGATTTTTCATGTTAACTTTTATGAGAACTTCTAAGTCATATTCACCTTAGTGTAAATTAACATATGCTGGCACTATACTAAAAAGTCATGGTGGCTGTTTTGGTTTTGTCCGATCAAAAGTGCCTGGCTTAATGAGGACATTGGGCAAATTTGGGTGGATAAATCATTTTTTCTCCCTTGCACCCACCAGTTGAGCTTTGCCATTAATGTCACAGAGTACATAGGCTAGCTTTTGGATACAGGGTTCTGTATTATAGTTACCAATGCCTTCAGCATTGTGTTCTCTGATCAGTATCTGAATTTTGAGGCAATAAAAGTGAAATAATGCCTGATAAAGTTAGTATCGGTATCAGAGCCTTTAATTATTGGGTTGGCCAAGAAGTTCGTTCGGGTTTTTCATAAGCTCTTCCAAAAAACCCGAGCGAACTTTTTGACCAGCCCAATATTTTCAAACTTTGCAGTATTCATCTTATCTAATTATGCCTGTGGCAGAATATGCAAAGAGGTTAACTGTAGGATTGCTTTCATTTTTATGAATTCTCATATATTAATTATCAAGATTGGTAAGTTATATAAATGCATATTCATCCACACATGTAAAAATATCCCAATGTGACTTTCAGAGTGATGAGGGAATACTTTGTTTCCTTTCATTTCCTTTATAACCCAAGGACTGTTCTCTACAGAGAACTTATAATTTCTTTTAGAAATTTTAACCTGGGGAGTAGGTAAAGGTAAAGTCCATAGATCTGTCAGCACTATAAAATTGTTCTGTAAGGCATGATTCAAATACCTAAGTATACTCTTCAAGTATACTTACGTAACAGTCTACAAGCTTACAACTTAGATGTGCATAATTTTATTAGATTCCTATGATCATCATGTATAATGGATATAACTGATATTAATATCTTTATGTGTTAGGGAACAGCTGTGACTAGCTAAAATCTTCCTAAAAGCTATACTTACTGTAAAGTTTTTATAGTAATTGTTTAATGATAAAGTTCTGCTTAATGAAAAACATGCATCTGACTTGTCTGGATTTTCTTAGTGCTACACCAAAAATTGTTTCTAAAGCGAAGACTATTGAAGTTGAGAGTAAAAACAAGTTGTCTACTGTCCCACTAAACAGTCTGGAACCCATCACTAATATACAGATCTGGTTAGCCAATGGGGAAAGGATTGTCCAGAAATTTAACATTTCTCATAGGTGAGTCTTCCATTTCATTATTTGTCTGATTTGTTCCCTAAGTTTTAATTGTATTTCTTCTTTTCAGGCCAGTCAATAGCTATTTTTAAGAACTAAGGATCTTAATAAATAGTTCTCTAAACATAATGTTTCATGACAATGGACATTCTTGGACATTAATATAGTATTTTCAGTCTGTTTTATGGATTATCATTTCATTAGTTTTCCTGTTTATCTAGATACATAATTTTAAAAGAATTATTTTTAATATGTTTTTAAGTTGATCGTTAGCATTATGTGTGTATTTTTCTGTTAATTGTAGAAAAGGAATGATAATACAGGAAAGTACTGAAAGAAATTGAAATCAAGTTAAATTCCATTACCCAGAGATAATCACTACTACTAGTTTGATGGATTTTTCCAGTCTTTTTTCTCGTCTTAAAATGTTTTTTCATTTTAATTAAAGTAGGAACATATTGTATATAGGTTTCCAAGTCCCTGGGACCTCCTTTAAACTTTTTACATCTTCCCATCATTCTTTGAGCATTTTCTTGTTTATTGGCACAAAATTTTTTTTCAGGTTCGTTCTGTACGTTTTCTAAGAAGCCCTGGTTCTTTTTAGTGGCCAAGGGTATTGAGGATCTGGTTACTAGGTATACTTATTGCCAGCATTCCCAGGCCCTCTGAGTGGAAAGAGCTACAGGTATCTATACATACATACACATATGCATATATATACACACACTGACACACACATTTACAAATGTATTTCTATATCTTTGCGTAGCGAAAACCATGAGTTCACATAGATAGCTCTAATTTCAATCCACCACCACAGGGTTTATTCTAGTTTTCCCCTTTCCATATTTGTAATTAACTTCTTCACTTTCTTCAGTTTAACTTTCTTCAGTGAGAAACCTGGCTCCAGTTACTCTCAATATATTTATTTATTTTTAAAAAATACTTATTTATTTATTGGTGGTGCTGGATCTTAGTTGCGTCAGGCGGGCTCCTTAGTTGTGGCATGTGAACTCTTAGTTGTGGTATGCATGTGTGATCTAGTTCCCTGACCAGGAATTGAACCTGGGCCCCCTTCATTGGGAGCACAGAGTCTTAACCTCTGTGCCACCAGGAAAGCCCCCAATATATTTATTTACTGATCAGTTCTCCTACATGTAACCAGTCTCCTTCTTCTACTGCTGCCTCCTCCCCAGCCCGGAAGCCTCCCTCTTCCTGCTGGGTCTCTTGACATATCACATCATGCCAATGACCTGTTTGCCCTCCTGGGCTCTGGCAGTCAGTGCTGCCTATCCTCCCCTATGAGTGGTCACTTGCCACCTCTTTCTGGTTCTGACACACTGCAGTTGGCCCCTCCTCTGTATGAATGCTCTTTTTATTCTGCTTGAGACAGCCTGCTGTGTACCACCTCTCCTATATTCCTAACCCAACTTGGCTTCTGACACTCTGCACTGAGAACCTCTTCTGTGTGGACACACTTCTAACCCTGCTCATACTGCAACCGTCCCCACCCGCCTCCCTCTACATGGGCGCACTCCTCGTGCTGGTCAGACTCTGACACCAGGAAGATGGGCCGCTTTCCTGTGCAGATGCCCTCTTCACCCAACCTGGACTCGGATTCCCTGATCTGGGCCACCACAACTCCCTCTCATATCTGGCCTGTATGCCAGTAGGTTCTCATTATTATCCATTTTATACATAGTAGTGTATATATGTCAATCCCACTCTCCCAGTTCGTCTCCCCCTACCCTTCCCCCCTTGGTAACCATAAGTTTGTTCTCTACAACTCAGATTTGTTTCTTTTTAGGGAAATAAACTATTTTAATCCCAACTTCTTTGTCTAGAAAAATACTTCTGGCATTTTCAATAACAAATAGTCACCTACCATTTATTTCCCTGAATGACTTGAAGCATTTAAAAACCTTTGACTGGCCAATGGTATTTATTAAGTGATAATTAACCAAGCTTTGTTTTTTAATTGGAATGTTTAGTCCAGTTTTTATAATGTTTTATAATATCCTGAACTAGTTAGGTTTAAGGCTACCATCTTGCTCTTTTTTTTCTCTTTACCTCATGGCTTTTTATTCTTCATTCCTCCTTTCTTGCCTCTTTTTGAGCTTAATGAGTATTATTTTTTATCCTCTCATAGCTTTTTAGATTGGCATTTCTTTATTCTTGTAGTAGTATTGCAGAGATCACAGTACACATTTTTAATTTTTACTGCACAGTTCCTTTAATCTTTATTGGGATTTTTTGTATTTATATTCTTTGCCATAAGCTTTAGCCTTTCATTATCCAATTTTTGGTACCCAATAAATACAAGTGACCATTTTCTTGATTTTGTTGGTAACCTGCACAGATTAACAGAGTAGCAATTGGTGAATTTGATTGAATGGGAAAATTCTGTCTTTGGTGATGTCATATTTCATTAATTCTTGTTTGCACATTTTTTCACATTTTAGCATCTCCGAAATGGGGATACATCCTTATAATTTCTTGTTGGCCATGTGGCAGTAATGACACAATTGTCTTTGCCTTGGCATCTGCCTCAAAGCATGCAGAACAAGTGTCAGCTCAATGAAAGATCATCCCAGAGACAGTAGTGGAGCACTTTTCAAAGTACTCCTGTATCATCAACACACCCGATGATACAGAAGGGAGTATTATATGGAAAAACATGTACATCAATGAACTGAATCAGAAGTGATTTGAAGGATCTGAGTCTGAATAACGTTCAACTGTTAGGAATGACTTAACCATTTTATTCTAATCTTATTATGGAAGTAAGTGATTTGATGAATGTTTGTGTGAAAATTAGTTAAAAGTGCTCTTTCAACAAGTATAAAAATTCTAAGTGTTTAAGAAACTATTTTGTCATAATCTGGATTTTTAAAAATTTTAGTAGTATATAAAATGACAAGTCTTAGAATCAGTGGCATCTCAGGGGGGTTTTTTTGGCCATGCCACCTGGCTTGCAGGATCTCAGTTCCCTGACCAGGGATTGAACCTAGGCCATGGCAGTGAAAGCCCAGCATCCTAACCACTAGGCCACCAGGGAACTCCCAGTGGCATCTTAATTTCGATGAACTGTATACGTACTTTCCCTTTCTAAATACACACGCATATACTTACATGAACATAACTTTGAGCTACCTTCAAGATAGCAGTGATTGGGAGGACTTCCCTGGTGGCGCAGTGGTTAAGAATCCGCCTGCCAATGCAGGGGACACGGGTTCGAGCCCTGGTCTGGGAAGATCCCACATACTGCGGAGCAACGAAGCCCGTGCACCACAACTACTGAGCCTGCACTCTAGAGCCTGCGAGCCACAACTACTGAGCCCATGTGCCACAACTACTGAAGCCCACACACCTAGAGCCTGTGCTCTGTAACAAAGACAAGCCACCACAATGAGAAGCATGTGCACTGCAACGAAGAGTAGCCCCCGCTTGCCGCAACTAAAGAAAGCCCGCGTGCAGCAACGAAGATCAAATGCAGCCAAAAATAAATAAATAATTTTTTAAAAATCACTGTTATTAAAAAAAAAAGGTTGCAGTGATTATATTACATTATAGTGTTTATTATACTAACTGAAAATCTACGTGCACTGGGTTAAGAATTATCTTAACTAGATTTGAAGCACAGCCTGATGTGGTATTGAAGAGATACAGCCTGTGTCTGTGTAGGATTACTGGTTGGACCATTTCTGATCCATTCAGAGCAAGATATGTAGATATTTCTGTTACAGAAACTTTCAGGCATATGCAAAAGCAAAGATATGATATAATGATCCATCATCACTCAGTTCGCACTGGACTATGTTAAGCAAATACCAGACTTCATATAGTTTCATATGTAGATATTTCAGAATGTGTTTCTAAAAAATAGAGACTCAAAATGTAACTCTAATACCCTTGTCACATCTAAGATAAGGAATAGTAATTCCTGACTATTATCAGGGGTGAACCTTTAAAAGATAGCCCAAGTGAGTAGTTACATCAACATAATTTGATTATTCTGGATTAACATAGCCAGGTATCATCACAAGTTATTACCTTAAATTAACTAATTCAGGTTTTCATAAAATTATATTAATAGTTTGTGCTATTTTACAGGGTAAGCCACATCAAAGACTTCATCGAAAAATACCAAGGATCACAAAGAAGTCCTCCCTTTTCCCTGGCAACAGCTCTTCCTTTCCTCAAATTACTAGATGAAACACTCACACTGGAAGAAGCCAATTTACAGAATGCTGTAATCATTCAGAGACTCAAAAAAACCGCTGAACCTTTTAAAGAACTTTTATAACATTGATTTTTGATACACTAAGTGGAAGGTTTCCAGAAAAATGATGGTCATAAGTGGACATGCACACCAAAATGGGGGGGAAGTCAGATTTGCTGAGCTTTGCACTATTTAACTCCCTCCTGATGAGAAGATTTTAAAATAAGTACAAGTTAGGAAAATAAACTATGACTGGAAACTATATTCAATGAACTTTTCCCAGAAGGCTACTCAGAAAGAAAAATAGACTTATTTTCAAATACCAGTTACTTAACGTAAGATATATTAAATAACTATATCATTTAAAATCTTAATACGGTATAAATTAGCAAATATGTTCATAGCATCTTTCATTCAAACATCATTCCCAAACAGCAGTGATTTGTTTAAATGTTAGCTGTCTCAGATTTTTTTAAATAGCAATACATTAAAAAATTATACATGGCAGGTTAAAAACATCAATGCAATTTTTTTATATCTGAGATACAATCAAAAGGCTGGAAGGAACTGCTTTCACCACAGCTATGCCTCACCCTCAGAAGTGTTCCCAATTTGCATTGTCTAATGGCAAGATACACTCAAATATTAACTTGGCAACAATATCTGGGATGTATTTTCATTTAAGAATAAAATTGTGTGGCTTAGTATAATGTCAGTATCAATCTGCTGACATACATTTCAACATTTTCGAAACGTATAAATTTAAAAGAATTCTTTTTTCTCTAGGAACCGCAGTTTATCCCCTACTTTATTTTTTTTCAGAAATTAGGGGTTTGGGGGCATCCCTGGTGGCGCAGTGGTTGAGAGTCCGCCTGCCGATGCAGGGGACACAGGTTCGTGCCCCGGTCCGGGAAGATCCCACGTGCTGCGGAGCGGCTGGGCCCGTGAGCCATGGCCGCTGAGCTTGCGTGTCCGGAGCCTGTGCTCCGCAATGGGAGAGGCCACAACAGTGAGAGGCCCGCGTACTGCCAAAAAAAAAAAAATTAGGGGTTTGTTCTTAGTTAACATTTGGAGCGGGCCATTTGTTTGCCACCACTCACGTAGAATCTAATGCTAGTGTTGTCGCGTTACTAATTAACATTTTTTAAATGCGTCGTGTAAAGTATGGTTTTCTATTTCATACATCACACAGCCCATTTATATATTAAAGGATTTATTACATTATGATGTCACTAAGGAAAACATGCTAGATTTTTAACTAAAACTGGTTACACTTCAGTATTTCCCTGTCAGATTAAATCCCCTTGCCTGACAATAAGTTTAAGAAGCTTTTTGCAGACAATCTATTGAATCGTATTTAAAGTGAAATATACATTGAATGTGCCAAGGAACTAAGTGGCCATGCCTAACAGCAGTTAATGTTCATAGGGTGCTGGATGTCTGCTGGAAAGAGCAGTCCTCAAACTTTTTGGTCTCAAGACCTTTTGTTTATGTGGGTTATAAATACTAATATTATATTTAAAATAAAAAAGTTATAAAATATTCATTAAAAATAATAAACGTGTTAATATAAAGAACATATTTATGAAAAATGTCTATTTTCCAAAATTTAAAAAGATTTAGTGAGAAACGTGGCATTGTATTTCATTTTTTCTAAATACCTTTACTGTCTGATTTAAAGAAGACAGATGGAATCTCATCTGCTTCTGTATGTCTGTTGCAGTATCACACATCATGTAGCCTATAGTAAATGCTACTGTACATTCATGAGAAAGTGAAAAAAAGCAAATAACGTCTTAGTATAATTATGAAAATAGTTTTGACCTTGCAGAACCCTTGCAAGAGCTAATCTTATAAAGCAGTGATTTGCAGTGATTCTCAGGCCTTAATATGTAAGAATCACTTGGGAAGCTTTTCAGAATGCCTATTACCTGCCACCTACCACACACATTTTAACAATTCATTGTATTTGGGATGGGTTCCAGATGTCTACATTTTTAATCCCAAGTAATTCTTAGGTATGTAGTAGGAGAACCAGTCTTCAGGAAATCCTGCACTAAGCTTCCACCCTAATAAAATAAAACCTGTGTGCTGCATCATGGACAGTGCAAGACTCAACTGAAATCGGACTGTTAGACCTTTAAATTTTATTGTAGTCCACCAGTTTGTTCTTAGACTGTCCTCCCACCCTTTAGTTCTGAACTAATCATGAGATAAACCTGTGCTTTATCTTCTGTAAGCACAGCTGAGACAAGGCTGCAACATTTAAATGAGGTTTTTATTAAAGGCTCAGGGATAACAAAAGGGAAATATACACATAACTAGATGACCTGATTTATAAGATATATCTTATGTTTGAAGTTCATTTTGAGAATGCTTCCTTTTCTAGCTCTCAGCCTTCTAGGTGGTAGAGGTCTTTTTATCAAGAAGAGAGGGAGAACAAAGGAGAGCCTTTTTTCCTTTTGTCATTTACCCTCAAAAATGAACAGATATATAATAGAAAATATTTATTGTCTGTAACGTTTACGTCTGTGGTAGAGTCGTCTCTTTAGTAAAACAAAAATAATGGCATTCTTAAAAAAAATGAGGGGATGGTAAAATCAGATGTAACGTAAGTCATTGTTAATATATTTTCAAGAATCTGTAAGAAAATGTTTCATGTAGGCCTATCATGAAGCATTTTATAATTTTCATTTGCATAAATATAAGTCAATTTTTGATTCTCCATATATTTCTATAAAGGGGCTTCTTGTTGGAAATATTTTTCTTGTACATATAAAAAGGCCTCCTTTGTGGATTTTCCAGTTTATAGTAATAACCAGAAGACACAGAGGTTTTCTTGTGTGTACATGCAGAATACACCCCAGTGAGAAGTTCTGTAGAGAAAGACCTGTCATCAGCAAGAACCCTCATTTTTGTAACTGTGAAAACTCTAATGTGGATGATATTCTTAAAGGTTTTCTAAAGTGAGAACCATCTGATAAAGCTTTTTACATTAAAGTTTAAAATTCTAAAGTTGTTAATTAAATATGTAGAATACCCAAAACATGTTGACTTTAGAAAACAAACTGAATTTAGCAAGGGAAGGCAAACTTGAAAATAAAGCCAGCATCTTAGATGTGGAATATAATTTGACCTAAGTAGTTGTTTCAAAAGTGGCATCAATCAGTTTAAAACCATTGTTGGGGGTGATATGCAGAAGTACATATCTAATTTTACAGATTCTAATTTATTGGTTAAATTACTATGCATTATCCAGGTTCTAAAGGTGATCTTATTTATTTTATATACTTCTGTCATTCAGAATACTTTTCATTATACTTAATTGTGTTGAAATTATGTATGCATCTATTTCAGTGCCTTAAAGTATTTTGAAAGCAATCTTGCTAATGGTTAAAGAACTGTTGTCTTGAAGATGAAATACTTACTGTTCATTAAAAGGATCAGTGAGATAATTTACATTTGTTTGTTACGAAATAGTTACATATGGATGCATTTGTCATTTTTATTTGGCAAAGTCATTCAGTTTGAGAATCAACCAACATTTATTAGGTGCTTTCTGTTTGCCAGGTACTTTAACCAATGTTACTTTCATTTAGTACTCAGAAGTGTTAAAATGTGATATTTTTAATACTAACTCAATGGTTGTGTTTATTTCTTACACCATCCTTTGTGTCCTTAGTTGAACTAGCATGAAGACTCCTTAGTAAGATTTACCCCTTTGCTCTTAGTACAAACCATTTAATTTAAACATTGCTCATCACACTGAATCTTCAAATAGAAGTGGCTTATTCAGTAGACTAATATTTGGCTCTTTGTCACTTGATTTAACTGTATGTTTTTTGCACAGATAATTCATATTCATTGGAGAAAATTATACAGTTATGCTACAATGATCTTTAGCTCACCTGTTATTCCACCATTCAGAGATAACCACTAATAACATATTGGTGTGCATCCTTTCAGATGTTTTGAAGTGTATCAATCTTTAGTTTTGTTTCAAAAGACAGGCTTCTTGATTATTGTCGGCCTGTTTTATTTATTGAAGCCTATTTGTCTTTAAAAATTGCATTAGGAATATACCATCACTTTAAGCAGAATAGTAACTGTTAGGGAAAAAAATGCCTTTTAGTTACATTTCTGTGCAAAAAAGGGAGGGAGGTGTTTTTTGTTTTTATTCTGTTGCCCACTTCCCTTCAAAAGTAAAATTGTGGTAGTACATGCAACACAGTATAAGTATTGTGAGTGAAGTGTTTCCAAACCTGCTGAAATTGCATATAAAGTGTTGTGTTCAAACGTAAATTATCCAAAGAAACTCATCTTGAGTTTGTTTAGTTCCCAAGAAATTAAATATTTAACACATGCATTATCTAGTTATCTTTGCACTATTTGCTAGGGCTGCAATCAAGGAAACTGAAGGTACCCATTTTCTAGATTAAGGAATTGAGGCATAGAAAATGGGATGACTTGCTTTATACTGGGTAGTGTATACTTTCAGGTTAGATTTAGCTGTAATGGGAAATCCAAAATAATAATGGCTTACAGAATACATTTTATTTTATTTCCCATGCAGAAGTCCGGAGGGAAGCAGTTCAGAGCTGCTAGATCAAAAGTCATGACTCCAGTATTGTTAATCTGCGGATCTCAGCACCAGTTAACTTGAGGTCTTCAGATAGCCTGTTGGCACCAGCCATCACATTTGCATTTCATCATTTCATCCAATAGAAGAAGCATACCCATTCCCTTTTTGAAAAAAGCTATTGAGATGTAATTCACATACCTTACAATTCACCCATTTAAAGTGTACAACTCAGTGTTTTTTTAGTATATTCACAGGACTGTGCAGCCATCACAGTCTGATTTTAGAACATTTTTATCTCTGAAAGAAACCCCATTGGGCTTCCCTGGTGGCGCAGTGGTTGAGAGTCCGCCTGCCGATGCAGGGGACACGGGTTCGTGCCCCGGTCCGGGAAGATCCCACATGCCGCGGAGCGGCTGGGCCCGTGAGCCGTGGCCGCTAAGCCTGCGCATCCGGAGCCTGTGCTCCGCAATGGGTGAGGCCACAACAGTGAGAGGCCCATGTACCGCAAAAAAATAAATATAAAAAATAAAAGAAACCCTATTAATAGTCTTTCTCCACCCTCAGTTCTAGACAGCCACAAGTCTACATTCTTTCTATAGGTTTATTTATTTGGACATTTTCATGTAAATGCAATCATACAATATGTGGTCTTTTGTGACTGGCTTTATTCACAACATAACGTTTTCAAGGTTCATCCATGTCGTTTTTATTGCTGAATAATAGTCCATTGTATGAATATTCCTAACATCCTAAATAGCCATTAGTTGATGGACATTTAGGTTGTTTCCACTTTTTAGCTATTAAAAATAGTGCTGCTATGAACATTTGTGTTCAGGTTGTTGCGTGATCATGTTTTCATCTCTGTTAACAGCCTCAGGAGTGGAATAAATGCTGGGTCATATAATTTCATACTTAACTTTTGAAGAACTGCCAAACTTCTCCAAAGCACCTGCACAGTTTACATGCCCACTAGCAATGTGTGATTTTCCATATTCTCCCCAACGCTTGTTACTGTCTTTTTATATAATTATAGCCCTCCTAGTGGAGTGGTATCTTGTAGTTTTGCATTTCCCTAATGACATGAGTATCTTTTCATGTGCCTTTTGTCCATTTGTCTGTCTTGGAGAAATATCTATTCAAATCCTTCACCTAATTTTTAATTGGGCTATCTTCTTACTGTTTAGTTTTGAGTTCTTTATATATTCCGGTACAAATCCTTATGATTTGCAAACATTCCTCCCATTCTGTGGGTCGTCTTTTCACTGGTTGCACAGGTTACAACACAAAGTTTTTCATTTAGATGTAGTCCAACTTATGCTTGTGGCGTCCTATCTAAGAAACATTTGTCTAACCCAAGATTGTGAAGATATGCTCCTGCTTTCTTCTAAGAGTTTTATAGTTTTAGCCTTTACACGTAGGTCTGTGATGGGTTTTCAGTTAATTTTTGTATATGATGTGACCCCTTCCCTTTTAAGGACCTTTCTGGGAAATTGCCTACACCACTCAGCTTTTATTCACTGGCCAGGACTTAGTTACATGGCCATACCCATTATCTGCATGAGGCTGGAGAATGTGTATTTCGGGCATCCTGTATCAATTTTTTAAAGAGGGTTGTAAGCCTACTCAGTCATAATCTTAGTCTGAGCAGGTCAATTCTATTGCTTCGTTTTTCTAATGAACTTGTTTGTCGACTTTCACGAGAATTTAGCAGGCGAGATTAGCGCGAACGGCCGCTGGCTCTCATTCCCTCGGAGACCTACCCCAAGGAAAACGGTCCCGAGTGACTTGGCCAGCCTTTCCCCCGGCAAATGTGGGCTCTGGCGTTTTTCACTTCGGGAAACCGAACCCGCGCACTTCGCGGCTTCCCTGTTTTCCCGCGCGTTGCCCCCGGCCCGGGGCGCGCCCGCTAGCCCGCCCCTCTTCGCGCCGCGCCCTCTCGGCCCGGGAGCCGCCCTCCCCGCGGGGGCGGCCGGGCGATAACACCGAGGGCGACGGCCGCAGTGCGCGTGCAGCCGTGCGCAATGGCAGTGTCCCCCGAAGGGACCCCGGCCCCGCCAGTTGAGACGCTGCCGTCCCCGCCGGAAGCGCACACCTTGGAGCCCGGTTCGGTGAGTGCAAAGCGAGGGGAGCGGGGGCTGAGCCGGGCGCAGAGCGGGCGCTGGGTCGGAGGGGCCCCGGGGACCTTCCGGGCGTCTGGGCGTAGGCCTTCAGCCAGCCTCGTCAAGCCTCCAGGTTGTTGAACTGCCCCTGGTGGAGTTTGACAGTTGAGAGCCGAGACGCTTGAGGGTGATCGGGAGCCCCAAAGAGAACAGGATGGGAAACCGAGTCCTAGACAAGCGAAGTAAGCTGCTGATTCCTTCACCTAGTCAGGCAGGGCCAGGGCCAGTCTAGGGCTCTTGTCCACCGCACTCCAGGTCTTCCCCAGGCCCCCTGCACCCTGGGCAGGCAGGACGCTGAGTGGCGTGAGGAGGCTGCCTCCCTTCCCCAGTCTCCGGGCAGGTGCTGCGGGCAGCCACAGCGACCCTCTCAAACCTGGCTTCCTCCAGGCGCCGGGCTCTCCTTGAGGAGACTGCCTCTAGAGATGTCCTTCCTGGCAACCAGGCTCCCAAGTGAGGGTAGCGGGCAGGCGGGAACCTAGGGGCGCCCTCAGCCCCTCGCATTCCCCCTCCCCCCACCCCCTGGATGGGGCTGGGGCGCATGTCATTCAGGGTGGCTGTGTTGGAGAGGAGTTAGGACGTCTGAACTTTCCTGATGAGTGCAAAAATCCACTGCCCGCCCTGTGCTCAACGCGTTCATTCTGTCTGTGGCTTCAATTCCCTATGCTGACTCAGTGCTTCCTCTCCAGCACCTCGGAGCAAAAGATTGTGGCCTCCAAGAAAGCAAGCAAGATTAAGAGGCCCTCTGGGGACTCTCACTTCCCAGGGAAATTTAGAAACTCAGGGTGAGAGGAATAGCTAGAGGGGAAACATGGTCCATGAAATGCTAGCATTTAATTCTCATAACAACCCTATGAGGTGTATTATCCCCATTTTAAATGTGAGGAAATGAAGCTCGGCACACTGAGTACCTTGTCCTGGGTCACACAGCTAGAAATGGCAGGCAGAATTTGCATTCAAATTTGTCGAATTTGTCTAACTCTGAAACTTGATCTCAGTTGACTGTGAAGGGTTTATGTTTTAAGTAGGTAAAACTGCCTTCCTCAAGATTCCAAGATTGTATCATATACCTAGTTTCAGCTGGAATGTCTGTTTCAAGTGCCTTCTATGTATCAGAAACTTGATAGGTATGTTTAGTGGGAAAGCAGAGTCCCATTATGGAGGGGGCAGGGTGGGGGGACAGTTATCATGTTGGATTCTGCCTGTTGTTAAGCTTTCTGGAAGTTGAAATAGCGTTCACAAAAATATCAGAAAAGGAGACCACATCCTGCCTCATGTGTGGGTAGGAAGAGTGCAGAGGACTTGATAAACCCTTATCTGGGAAGACCTTCCTTTCATTTGGGGTGTCTGGCAAGATACAAAAATGGGTGAAGCCATGGTCCTCTCCACTCCCCCTCCCATCTCCGGGCAAAAGATGAAAAAGAAGGATTCCCAGTGTCTATGGAAGAAATAGCACTTTCCACAGTGTCTTCATGGCATTTATTCTTTTAACAAATATATATATATTGTCTATATGCCCAGCATTGTTCTAGATACTGGGGACATGGTGGTGAATCAAAGTTATATAGTTCATGCTCTCAGAGAGTTTATATGCTGGTGGGGAGAGGCAGGAAATGAATAAGAATATATCCTGTAGTTAGTACAATTGAGAGAGAGATTTGGGTGGTCAGGGAAGCCCTCTCTAAAGAGATGACATTTAGGCTTCAGCCTGAATGGCAAGGAGTCAGCTCTTGCAAAGACCGGAAGGAAGAGCCTTCCAGACAGAAGGGACAGGAAGTGCAAAGGCCCTGAGGCAGCAACAGAAAAGGTCATTTTGAGTAACAAGAAGGAGGAGGCTACCATGGTAGAGCTATCTGAAGTGAGGTGGGAAAGGGAGTGGGAGCTGATTGGGTGGGCGCCTGTAGGCAATATGGGAAGGACTTGGAGTTTTATTCAAACTGTAATGGCAAGCTGTTAGAGGGTTTTAAGCAGAGATGAGGCACAATCTGATTTATGTTATGAAAAGATCAGTTGGGCTGCTGGACGGAGAGTGGATAGTAGGGAACGAGAGTAGAAGCAGAGAAGCCACTTAGGAGGCTCTCACTGATAGATTAGACAGGGGAATTGGGAAAGAGTAATCAAGGATGACTCCTAGGTTTGTGGTCTGAGCTGCTGAGTGGACATTGGGGCTATTTAATGCAATGGGGACGACAGGGTTAAGAGGTTAAGACAATGGGATGGAAATCAGGAGCTGTGTTTTGACCATGCTAAGCTGAAATGCCTGTTTGGCAACCATGTGGGGCTGTGAGTAGACAGTTTAATTTGAGTCTGGAGTTCACTGGGTAGCTTAGGGATATATATATATATGGATATATACATACACACACATATATTTGGGGTCATAAGCATTACTTCATTTTAGTGGTGGGTTGGTAAACAGTCTCTCCAGAAAAACAAAACTCTGATTTTTGCTGTTTACTGATTTCTGTGGTGTAAATACTCTCACCATGGCCGATTTCAGGCTGCCAGTAACCACTGGCTTGCAAAAGTCCTGAATATTTAACAATCAGCTCCTGGAGCCATTACCTCATTTGCTCATCAAAACATCCGGCACATATATACAATGGAATATTACTCAGCCATAAAAAGAAACAAAATTGAGTTATTTGTAGTGAGGTGGATGGACCTAGAGTCTGTCATACAGAGCGAAGTAAGTCAGAAAGAGAAAGACAAATGCCGTATGCTAACACATACATATGGAATCTAAGAAAAAAAAATGTCATGAAGAACCTAGGGGTAAGACAGGAATAAAGACACAGACCTACTAGAGAATGGACTGGAGGATATGGGGAGGGGGAAGGGTAAGCTGTGACAAAGTGAGAGAGTGGCATGGACATATATACACTACCAAATGTAAAATTGATAGCTAGTGGGAAGCAGCCGCATAGCACAGGGAGATCAGCTCAGTGCTTTGTGACCACCTAGAGGGGTGGGATAGGGAGGGTGGGAGGGAAGGAGATGCAAGAGGGAAGAGATGTGGGAACATATGTATATGTATAACTGATTCACTTTGTTATAAAGCAGAAACTAACACACCATTGTAAAGCAATTATACTCCAATAAAGATGTAAAAAAAAAAAATCCCTTGAAGTTGGCAGGAATATCCATTTGACAGATGAGGCTTAGAGAGATAAAGTGATTTATTCAAAGTCCACACAGGAAGCTGGTGGCAAATTTAGGGGCCTCCTGACCCCCAGTTCACTCTGGCTTGCTGACTTGGAGAATAAAACAGACTGCAGCAGGAAGCACTGTGGGGAAATATAAGGAAGAACTTCTCCCTGGAAATGCTTAGAGGTCATGGTTTAGGACTTTTTTTTTTTCCTTTTTCTGTCTCACTTCCTTTTAAGATGATTTGGGACAAATTAGGACTGAGAGGTTGCTGGAAAAGCCTTCAAGACATAGGGACCTCAGGATGCTTTTGGAAGTCAGGGGGCTGGAGGGAGCTGTTGTGTGTCTGTGGGGGCTTAGCTCCTGTGTCTCCCCCAGGACAGCGGAGCTGGTCGCCTCTCATTCTGTACGAAGGTGTGCTACGGCATTGGAGGGGTCCCCAACCAGGTGGCCTCCAGCGCCATAGCCTTTTACCTGCAACTTTTCCTGCTCGATGTGGCCCAGGTGAGTGTGGGCAGCAGCCTCGGGGGCCCCCTGCTTCCATCTTCCTTGGTGTCTGGTCCTTTCACCCCACCTTTACTTCCACCCCCATCATCCTTGGTAGATGGTACTTCTGACCCAAGCCTGAGAAAAAACCAAATGCTATTGAGGGCAACCTCCTCAAGGATGTTTACTGCAGGCTGTTTGTAGTGGAAAAGTGGGAAACAACATGAATGCCCCCAAATATAGAAGTAGTTGGAAAATAAGTTGGGCTATATCCACATAATGGACTACTGTGTAGTCACTCAAAAGAATGAGTTAGATCTATACCAGTTGACTCAGAAGAATTTCCATGATGCACTGTCAAGTGGGAAAAGTTAGTTTTAGAGAAAGGTATATAAAATGATCCTATTTTAGCAAAACAAAAACATGCCCCATCTATGTGGGTGCATGGGTATATGGATGTATATACATCTGTACATGATTAAAGGATGAGCATGGGGAAAGTAAATTCCGGAAGGATATCCGCCAGAGTGTTAATGTTGGCTATAGGAGGGAATGGTGGAGGATAGAGGGTAAACAAAAAAGAACTTTTTAATAAGGTATCCATCATTTATTTATTTATCTTTCTGTGATTTTTAAAAATGACGCTGATACGGTCCCATTTGTGTAAAATTATAAATTGCAAATGCACATAAGGAAACGCAGGACAGGATGATCAAAATGTTCCTGGCAGTTGTCTCAGGATGGTGGGATTTCAGATGAGCTTTGATCAGTATTCTTCTGTACTGTTTGAATGTGTTTATAATGAGTGTATCTTTTGTGTAATCAGAAAAATCAATAAAACGTTTTCATTGTGAAACACAAGGTCTGCCTTTGACTGTCAGCTTCAGTGCACCCTTCTTGCACTGAGCCCTTCAGGGGAAGATCTCTCAAGTCTTCTCTGAAAGTGACCAGGCATAAGTATAACAGGAATGTGCTAGGGAACAGCTATCACTCCCTCCCGCTTCTCTACTGGTGCACATATGCCCTCGGAGCTCTCTGGATTCCTGTCCTGGGGAAGAGACCAAAAAACCTTTGCACCGTGGCTCTGGCCCCTGCCAGTTTCCCAGATCTTCCTTCTGATGGGCGGGCAGGCCTAGATACCCTCTCTGACTCTGCCAGGCCTTGCCTATCCCCTCCCCTGTCCCTTTCAGATCCCTGCTGCCCAGGTGTCACTTGTCCTGTTTGGAGGGAAGGTGTCTGGGGCAGCTGCCGACCCTTTGGCTGGGTTCTTCATCAACAGAAGCAGAAGGACAGGGTCTGGACGACTCATGCCCTGGTGAGCAGCCCCATGGTCCTCAGGATCCTGGCACCCACCCCTGGCTTGAGGTCACTGTGTTTGTCACATCTGCTTCTTAGTGGATGGTTAGAAGACAAGTCTGGACAGTAGGTGACAGGAATGGATTGGGTCTGACTGAGTCATGCAGGTGTTCATAGACCTCTCCCTCACCTGGTGGCACAGAGCTGGACAAACCCTCCAAGAGTCGCTGCCCTGGCCCTGGGGGTCTAGGAATGCGGCCAGGCTGAGCTGGGTGTATTGGAAGGTCTCACAGAGATGTGACTTGCCTGTGCCCCCGGGCCCCCGGAACAGGGAATGGCACAACCCAGCCACTAAGTGCCCCAGCCTCTACTCCTGGCTACCTCCTCGCCCTCGGCCACCTTGCGCCCTCCATGGCTCCCACCCTGAAAGCCCCAGCCCAGGGCTTCTCCAGGGGCCGAGAGCTTGAACCCAGAGGGGTGAGGTTGCTCCAGGCCCAGCCTTTGCGTCCTCTGTCCTGGTGCCACGGGGCGCTCCACCTGGGCTGTGCTTCCACAGGGTGCTGGGCTGCACGCCGTTCATTGCCTTGGCCTCCTTCTTCCTATGGTTCCTGCCCCCCTTCACCAGCCTGCGTGGCCTCTGGTACACAGCCCTCTACTCCCTGTTCCAGGCCCTGGCAACGGTAAGCAGGTGGCCCTCTTCCTCGGCCTGGACTCCTGGAACCCCAGTGCTGGCTGGAGGCCCCTCTGAAGTGTGTGTGTGCTGGGGGTAGGGGTCCAGGTCCCTGCTGCCCACCTGCTTACCAGGTGGCCACCGACCATTAGCTTTTCTCGTGGGCTCTAGGCTGGGTGCCCCTCCTGTCCCTCAGCCCCTAACTCCGGGTTGAGGGAATCAGTGGGGATGTGCCAGCCTGGCGCAGGCCTGCCCTCGGGAAGCTGCTGGCCTGGGTTGGCAGTCTGGTGGCAGGCGCCATCCTAATCTCTGCCCGGTGCCCCAGTTCTTCCAGGTGCCCTACACGGCACTGACCATGCTCTTGACCCCCAGCCCCAGGGAGCGGGACTCGGCCACTGTGTACCGTGAGTGCGGGCAGGCGTGGGGTGCGTGGGGTGGGATGGCTCTGCCCCTGGCCCCACGAGCTGTCACCTTGCTCCACGCTGTGTCCCAGGGATGACCTTGGAGATGGCAGGGACGCTGATGGGAGCCACTGTCCATGGACTCATCGTGTCTGGTGCCCACGGGTCCCACAGGTGCAAGGAGACTGCGCTCCCAGGACAAGTGGCTGTCTCCCCCAACGCGGTGAGTGCCCAGGCTACCCAGAGCCACTGGGACCCCCGCTTTGGGGTCACTTCTTTCTTCCAGGGCTGTTTCTCCCCCAGGTCTCTTCATGGTTGTTTGGGGGCTCAGCTCTGCTCACCATGCCCTCTCATTCCTTCCCTGCTCCTGTAGCTGAGCCCATGCCCTCCGTCCTCCCTGCTAAATCTGCTTCTGCTGGGTGCCTTCTAAACATGGAGTCAAACAACAGATCAGCAGGCCATCTGGAGGGGAGGAGACAGACCCCAGAGAAGGGACAGGGGTGGGGAAGGGCCACAGGCAGGGACAGGGCAGAGAGACAGCAGAACGGTTTGGTGTCCTGGCAGAGCTCTGGGCAAAACCGACCTATGACCAGTCCTACCCATCCCTGAATGGGTGACTGCCAAAGCCAACCCCACCCCCAGTGTGAAAGGGTTAGTACCCCTTCCTGTCTCCTCAAAGCAGGTCCCTTTTCAGCAATTAGGGGACGTGCATCTATTTATCCATCAAGTTCATCTTCTATCCGCCCCCCCTCCCTTTCTCCTTAAGCAAATGACATCACTCACCTCCACCAACATTTGGGAATTAATGGTATGAGAATAATACCACCAACACCCATGGTTCACCACCCGTAAGAAAACATTACAATGAAGTCCTTGTGTGCCCATCCATCCCCAGACCCATCTGTAGCCCAGCTACAGAATTTGCCTGAGTACAGTGCAAAGTGAAGCTGTAGAGCCCCAGAGAGAGCGGGGAAGTCAGTTTCCCCTTCCCATGGCCTACTGCCCCAATCTAGGGATTGCCTGAATCAGGGTCGGGGAGAGACTCTGCCCAGTTGCCCTCAAACCCCATCGTGGTGCTATGAGCCTGGGATCAGAGGGATTGCGACCTGCAGATTCACCCTCCCCACTTCCACGCCTAGGCCCCACTGAGGCCTCTACAAGTGCCCTCCCCAAAGCTACTGGGTCACTGTCTGGGTGAGGGTGGAACAGAGGGTGGCAGTGGCCTTGGGTTGGAGAGCAGGAGGCCGGGCGGGGCCTGGGATGCCAAGAAGTAGGGAGCAGGAGACTGAGAACCATCCCCACCCCGGGAGGCGAAGCCTTGTGTGAGCCAAGGCGAGTAGCATTCAGGTGCCTCTTGGTAGTTCCAGCTCTGTTGTTCCATCGACTTCACTTACAAAACACAAATTCATAGATAAAATCATCACGAATTTCAAGACAGCAGAGCATTAACTCCCAAGTGCAGTGCCTTCTGAATGTGGGACCCTGTGCAACTGTGCTGGATCCACACTGGTGAAGCCCTGCCCATCTCCCTCTTTCTTCCCCCACCAAAGGCAACCCCTATCCTGAATTGGGTGACTGGTACTCCCATGCATGCCTTAAATGTATTTTATTACATATGTGTCTTCCTCTGAATGCTAGGTAGCACCGTTCTGGTTTTGACGTTTATCTGCGTCATCATGCGTCACACTGTCTGCTCATGGATCTGTCTCCCCACCCACTCCAAGCCCCTTATCGTGGATGCACAGGATCACTTATTCATCACCGTAACCGCAGGGTCTAGCACGCAGAAATCAGCCCCAATGAACGTTTGCTTAAAAAAAAGAGAGAGAGAGGCGAAGGGGGCTTAGACCCATGGTGGCATGGATGCTAGCAGGAGGCAGAGGGTCAGCAGAAGGACCACTCTGGGCCCTTAGATCTCCCTCTCCTGCTGGGCTGGTTGGGAGGAGGGGCACCCAGCATCCTTGGGCTTGGGCTGAGGGTCCCTGTGCTCCCATTGGGAGGTACTCCTGCCCGGCCCCTGGGTATCCCCACCTCCGTGGGTTGGAGACATCACCCCCACTGAAGTTCTGTCCTGTCCCACAGACTCGTCTCTACTCCATTGCAGCCACTGTGGTTGCTGTGACTTACCCCGTGTGCAGTAGTTTGCTCTGCCTGGGGGTGAAGGAGCGACCAGGTAGGTGCGGGGTGCAGGCAGAGTGTGGGAAGCAGAAGCTGCGGCAGGGCTCCTCTTGGGCGTGGGTTTTGGTTTTGAGCTCCACCAAGCCAAGATGTCCCCTTCCTGTGTTGCAGGTGCTTCTGCCCGAGCCGCCGGCCAGGGCCTGAGCTTCCTGGCTGGGCTGCGGCTCACAGTGCGGCACCCGCCCTACCTGAAGCTGGTCATCTCCTTCCTGTTCATCTCGGCAGCCGTTCAGGTACCTCTGGCCAGGCTGATCCGCACTGGCTTGGCTCTGGCCATACTGACCCTGCGTAGGTTCAGGTGTCTCTTGTCCCCACCGCACCAGGGAGAAACCAGTGGCTGGCAAGCGCCGGGCGAGGCTGGTGCTGGGAGGAGAGGAACCTGCCTAGAGCCTGTGGGGCTGGGGAGGGTCAGGGCCCAGACACCAGGAAGCTGATGCTGTCTGGGGTGGTTCTCAGCCCTGCTGGGGGGCGGGACAAGGAATGGCGTTTGTACCCGTGTCAGCGATAAGCGTCCTTCATTGGGGAGGGGACTGCGTGATGGCGGTAGGAACCGGACGCTTGAGGTCCCAAAGGGGAGGCCAGACTTGAGACCTTGGCCTTGCCCTTGACTTCCACGTTTCTGCCATTTCCCATACACGCCCACTTCCTGTCGACCTCTTCAGGTGGAGCAGAGCTACCTGGTCCTGTTCTGTGCACACGCCTCCCGGCTACATGACCATGTGCAGAGCCTGGTGCTAACCATCCTGGTGAGGGGACCTGGGGCGGTAGAGGCAAGGGCGCTCGGGGGCCTGAGTTGGGGATGTGTGACCCTTGACGTGACACATGTGACCGGACTTCCGATGGTCAGGGTTCTGGACTCTGCTGTGGTCTTGGTCACCTGCATTTCAGCAGAGGGTGGAATTGGGGCCAGGGTCATAAAGTTCACAGCCACTGTTTCCAAACAGGTGGCAAGGTCAACATCGAGCGTCCCTCCTAAAAGTCAGGGCTTTGAGGGCCTGGCAGAGGCGCAGGCGGCGTGTCCTGGGCTGTGATGATTCTGTCCGCTCACAGGTCTCGGCAGTGCTGAGCACCCCGATGTGGGAGTGGGTTCTGCAGCGATTTGGGAAGAGGATGTCGGCCTTCGGGATCTTTGTGAGTGAGGCAGGAAGCAAGGCCTGGAGGGATTTGGGGGGGCGGGAGGCGGTGACCTTGGAGCCTAAGCCTCCTGGGGGCCGGCAGGGCCGCGTCTATATTCACTGCGTGCTCAGTGCCTAGCAGGGGACCAGGCGCAGGGGGTCATCAGTAGAGCGGTGAGTGTGTGAATCAAAGAGCAGTTGAGCCGGGGCTGCAGGTGGAGGGAGCAGCTAGTGTGTCTGTCTCCCTAGGGGATGGTGCCATTTGCAATCCTGCTGGCTGCTATGCCCACAGCACCCGTGGCATACGTCGTGGCCTTTGTATCTGGCGTGAGCATTGCCGTGTCCTTGCTGCTACCCTGGTAGGCTGGGTGAAGGGAAATGGGAGTGGGAGCCTCACGTCCTTCCTACTGGGTATCCCTCCTTCACGTCAACCTGCTATCCCAGGCCTTGTGCACAGGCTGCGCTGGGGAGGGGCTCTCCCCCTTGCAGGAGATGGAGGCTGCTAGCGCCATCTGTGGAGCCCTCCAGAAAGAGCACCAGGCGGCAGGAACGGTGGACAGCTGTGTGTTGGGGAAATATTGCCTGACTCTGTGGGTCGGTCCTGGGCAGCGGGGACCCAGGGGTGAATCTGACTCACTCTCTGTCCCCAGAGAGCTCCCAGGCTGGTGGCTGTCGAGGGGATAAAAGGGATAATTCTGCAGCCCCCTCCCCCAGGTCCATGCTTCCAGATGTGGTGGATGAATTCCAGCTGCAGCACCAGCACGGCCCAGGGCTGGAGACCATCTTCTACTCATCCTATGTCTTCTTCACCAAGCTTTCAGGTGCAGGCGCCCTGGGCATCTCCACTCTCAGCCTGGAGTGAGTCACAGAGCTGGGCTGTACCAGAGGCACAAAAGACTAGCGGCGTGGGAAGCAGAGGGCAGAGTCCCCCACCTTAGCCAGCTAGGGGTCACCCGTGGGTCCGGAGGGTGTGTGGGAACCTCCACCCTACTTTCTCTGTGCACATGACTGGGAGGGGCCCTTCTTGGTGGCTGTACCCCTTCTGAAGCCTCTGCTTCCCACATCCTCAGCTTTCTCTGAACTCCTCCCTGGTCTGTTCGTTCCCTCACACTCTGTCCCCCATAGTTAGGCTGATGTGGCCAGGAAACTATCCAAGTTTCAGGATAGCGTGGTGGTTGGGCATTTGGGACCCCTCCGTCAGGAAGCCAGGCTCTGAGCTGGATGCATGGGATGGTGTTTCCCCAGCTTTGCGGGGTATGAGTCAGGAGCCTGCAAGCAGGCGGAACAGGTAGTGGTGACCCTCAAAGTCCTCATCGGTGCCATGCCCACCTGCATGATCCTCATCGGTCTGTGCATCCTCATGGTCGGCCCCACTCCAAAGGTGCCAAGTCGGAACAGCTCCCGCTCCCTTGGGAGGTAGGCACCTCTCGCACACGGGTATACACAGGAGGGCTGCCAACACCCGGGAGGCATGCAGATGTGCACGGCTCTCATTTGGTCACCTCCACCTGATGTCCCACAAGCATGGCAGTCAGTCTTAATGGGTCCCAAACCGAATTTATCTTCTTCCCCAATTGCTGCTCCTGCTGTGCCCCGGTCCCGGTGAATGGCACCACCCTCCAGCTTGGGAGCCGAAACCTGGGAGCCATCTTCCACTCTCCCCCGCACAGGCTGCACCGAGCAGCTCTCTCTGACCTTGTTCTTCCCCCTGCGAACCGCCGATCCCACTGCCCAAGGGTGATCTGCTCACTGTCTGGCTTTCGCAGTAGACTGTGGAGACCTTGAAAGCTGGGTCTGTTCTCTTCACTTTTGCGTCCCAAGAGCTCAGCGCAGAGCCTGAGGCCAAGCGGGCGCTGCAGTATCAACATGTCTGGTCCAGCAGACGTTCACGAGCCTTGTCCACGTTTTTGCCGACGCTCACGCGTTTACAAACACGAGTCCATGTAGATACAGAGGACCACGCACGATAGGCAGGAAGTGGCTTTGTCATGGGTCTCTCACTGCTTGCTGTGGATGGCCTGGGACTCCAGCCCATCCTACTGAGATCATGCGCTACACTCGGGGAATAACAGGTGGATGGGGAACTGCTTGGTGGGACTCGGAAGAACAGGGTTTTAGCTTCATTCACAGGGTTGAGAAGGGGAGGAGCTGCTAGAGAGACAAGGAGCAGCCACTGACACTTCCACGGGACCCCACCCACCTCATCCTTCCCTTTGGCTTCTTCCCTTTCCAACAGGAGGACCAGCTACAGCCTCGCTTGAATTTGAGACTCCTGTGAGCTGGAACGGCCGGAGCAGCGTCTTCTGGGCTCCAAGTCCCCCTTCTCAGCCCTTCGGCACCCCTGCTTCACAGTTTACACACGACCCATCTTTTCCCCTGGGATATGGCATCTTTGGTGACTCTCCTGAAGGGAGTGGCCTGGGCTCCAGGACCCCCGCCTGTCACGTCTTGCCTGTTGACTGCAGGACATCTCAGATAGGCCTGTGCCCCTGACTACCCAGCTCCAGGCAACCTGTGACCTGGAAAGCATACCAGTAGCAACTATTCCTGGAAAAAGGAAGCCCCTACCAGCTTGGTCTGCAGACTTCCTTTGGGAGCACCAGGCCCACCAACCTGCTTGGATGGTAAAGCTACATGACAGGACAGACACACAGAACTCGTTTCCCCTGATGTTCCACTGGATGTCTGAGAGAGGCTGACAGCACGTGAGTGGGCAGAGTGGGGACAGATGGATGCTGGGATGTCCAATTAGGAGAGAGACAGATGCAGCGAGGCCAACAGACCCCAGAGGGAGCGAATGGGGCCAGTGGTGGGGATAGACTGAGCAGGACATGAGGTGTTTCCTTTCCTTTGTACAGCTAAGTTGATGACACTGTTTCTAGAAGTGGACATTGACTGATGTTGAGCCACTGAAGACCCATCATTTTTATAAACAAAAGTTATTTTTGAGGAAATATTTTTCTGAAAGTTTATCTTTTTTTTTTCTGGCTGTGCCTCACCACATGCGGGATCTTAGTTTCCCGACCAGGGATGGAACCCATGCCCCCTGCAGTGGAAGTGCGGAGTCTTAACCACTGGGCGGCCAGGGAAGTCCCCTGAAAGTTTATCTTATAAAAGCACAGGAACCACCGTTTTCTAGAGGTCATGTCTTTGGGAAAGAAAGATCCACTGAGATTTATTTTTTCAGAAACAAATTAAAGGGTTTATCTTCTATTGAGTCTGTAAAATTTGCCTGTGGCCAGCCTTCTCATCCCACCTCCTGGGAAAGCCCGGTCCCGAGGAGGGACGGGGAGGGTGCCTGATGTCACTGAAACTGGCTATGGCCCATCAGCGATATGTCCCAGAGTCTGCATTTCCTCAGACCAGAGATGCCATGTGGGAGGTGGGTTCCTTCCTTCCTTTGGAAGAGAAGAAAAGTTGAGACTCGATAGTGGCCAGGTGGCTCATGTGGGTTTGGGGCCTGGGGAAGAGTTGAGGAACCTGTGGGGACCCTGATGCCCCAGCAACTCCTAGAGAAGCTCAGAAACCTCAAGGGAGACCAGGAGGTACAGACCTGCCCCCCACATTTCTCCCAGCCCCCAGCTCAGTCCCCTCCTGAGCCCACTGCCCAGGGCTAGGCCCCCTTCCACTTCCTCTTTAGACCTCTGGCTGCCTCTTAGGTGTGAGATTAGGTGCGAGGTCTAAGACGGCCAGAGCTCAGACACAGTCAGGCAGGATGTGCCCCTCAGAGCTTAAAGTGTTCAGCTTCCTCTACAAATGCTATAGCACAAGAAGGAACCTGACCTCAGAGAGAGAGTACAGAGTGTGACCCAGTCTGTCTGATACCTGAACTTTCTGGCCCCGTGACACTGACATGGGCATCTGATCCTTGAGGTCACAGGGCCCCAGAGAAAGAGCTGGGCTCTGTCTCTCTTCCTTGTCCACCTGACTGGTTCAGGAAGGGGCTGACAGGAAGCTCTGCTCACCCCCCGCCGTGCACAGGTGCACATACCACACACATACCTCACACACTGCACACTCACACACATGCACACATACAGAACAGTTTCTTAACACTGGAAAATCACTTGCCCTGTGGAGACAGTACCTGTTATGACCAAAGGCCAGGTAGTTTCTACCATGTTATGTTATGCTGTGCTTTGGAAACCTGGGCAACGCAGGTGGGATCAGAGCTCGTGCCACATTTTATGTTACCTATACTATTTCCCGGGAGTGCAGTCTCAAGGATCAGAGCTTCACTGTACAAAGACAGCTGCAGGGGGTCACCTCTGGACGTTAGGGGTTAGATCTCAGAGACAGGAGGTAATCATGGGCTGGCCAAAAGGTATTCCATTTCTTCTTCATAGCAGCCCCATGAAGCAGGTACTATGATTCTCATTTTCAGATGAGGAAACAGGCTTAAAGAGATTAAGCAACTTGCCTACGATCAGTTGGTGGTAGAAACGGTCTTGTACCCAAGTTGGCCTGATTCCAAAGCTTGTGGAGCTATCCAGGACTTAAAATAGTTTTTGGAGGTATGGCTGACCCAGGACTTCGGTATCACAGGACCACTCCTCCTCTGAAACCAAACGCCAGCATCCCTGCCTCTGACTCTATGCTTCGATTCCACTGTAATTCCATTAATCCTACTCTTCGACCTTCGGCTCACATTTGCCCACTGAGCTCACCCCATATCCACGTCCCTCTCCTGACACCCACCCTCCTCAGAGCCCTGTTTCAGAGGAAGAAGACCTCTCCTTACCACCACGGCCAGCCCTGGGCCTATGGCCGGCAAAGGCAGACATCTCCCCTTGCCCCTTCCCTCTCCACGACCTTTTCCATCCCCACTTAAATCCAGGAGAGCATGCCATCCACTTGCTCAAGACCCTCTCAGCCCCACCCCTGCATCCCATCAACAGTCCCTCAAGGTCTCACAAGATCAGGTCCCTCCTGAAGTATCACTTCCTCAGGGAGGCCTTTCCTGCTTCCCCACAATCGCCTGCTCCACCCCGTCTCTACGCTCCACCCACTTTGCTTGTGCTCAGTAGAACCCACCTCCACATACAACTATATAGTTCTCAACGGCTTTCTTGTTTATTGCTTGACACCCCTGTTAAAACAGAAATGTCATGAGGGCAGGGACTTTGACCGCTACATCCTCAGTGCCCAGAAGTGAACGTTCAACAGGAATAAATGTTTGCTAACTGAACAAGTGAATGTCCATGGTGCCCTCATCCTCAAACAAACAAAAACAGCCTTTCCTGTTCCCTTCACTTTCTCCTCCTCTTCAAATAATCGGTTTACTCTCCTCCCGCCACCCCGCTCCACAGCATTGTCTCCTGTCTCCTGACCCTCACCTGCCATTCCCTCATTTTTTTGCGTGTGATTTTTTAAAATAATTTTTTTTTAATCTTTATTTTTGGCTGTGTTGGGTCTTCGTTGCTGCGAAGCTTTCTCTGGTTGTGGTGCGCGGGCTTCTCATTGCGGTGGCTTCTCTTGTTGTGGAGCACGGGCTCTAGGCATTCAGGCTCAGTAGTTGGGCTCATGGGCTCTAGAGCACAGGCTCAGTAGTTGTGGTGCACGGCCTTAGTTGCTCTGCGGCATGTGGGATCTTCCTGGACCAGGGCTTGAACCCGTGTCCCCTGCAAGGGCAGGCGGTTTCTTTTTTTTTTTTTTTTTTTTTTTTTGTGGTACGCGGGCCTCTCACTGTTGTGGCCTCTCCCGTTGCGGAGCACAGGCTCCGGACGCGCAGGCTCAGCGGCCATGGCTCACGGGCCTCAGGTGGGATCTTTAGTTGAGGCATGTGAACTCTTAGTTGCAGCATGTGGGATCTAGTTCCCTGACCAGGGATCGAACCTGGGCCCCCTGCGTTGGGAGCACGGAGTCTTACCACTGGACCACCAGGGAAGTCCCTCCATTTATTTCATGAAAGAAATGTGTACACTGTTACCTATGTGTTGGGACAGGTCTGATGATTAGGCGGGGTAACACTGACCAAGGAAACCTCAATCACAGGTAGCCATAATGCTGTCCATGCTGCTTCAAAACCCTGTCCTCCTTGGCTCCCTTACCTCCCTCCCGGTTCTCCTCCACCATCTCTGACCATGCATTTTCTGACTTTTCCATTGCTTCTTCCTTTGATGCTCTGTGGTCATCTTGGGCTTCCCAGGGCCAGTAATTTCATTCACTACCACCACCTCTACCCCACTCTATTTCCAACCTTGAGCTCTCTGCTGACCTTCAGGTCCCCAGAATCAAAGATCAGATGCCCATCTCAGTGTCCTCCAGGCAGTTAAAACATCACATGTCCAAAATGGACTCCTCACCTTCTCCCCACCCATGTTCTGTCTCCTGCATTTTCGGTGAATTTACGTCAGCATCTATCCAGTCACCAAAACCCAAAACTTGGTCTCTTCTTAGTTTCCTTTCTCTCCCATTCACTGCACCACCCCATTCCCCATATACACCGAGTACGGATTAAAGCAAGGGAAAGTGTTGCAATTTGTGGGTTCTACCATTATCAAATGGTAGAAGTTATTTGAAATTTAACAGAAAGCTGTAACACCAGATATGGATGGGTGTAGCTCATAACACACAGAGCAAACTGATGTAGCTGATCGTTAGGTGTTTGAGATGTGTATATATGTGTATCCCTATGGGACTCAGTTCAGCTGGGTACAGTTTTCTGTGTTCACCTAGTGTTTCTTAAGGACAAAACTGGTACACAAGCAACAGGAAATTCAAGTTATGCTCTAATAGTTCCCTAATATAACAATTGTGTTGGAACAAATTTGTTTTCAAAACAAACATTGTAACAGAATTGAGTGTATATGTGTCTGGGTGTAAATATACAGAAATCCTAAATGGTCCCATAAATATTAAAGGAATAAAATAAGTATTTTAAAACATTCCCACAAAGAAAAGACCAGATCCAAAGTCTATCAAACATTCAATCAAGGATCATTCCTATCTTATGAAAACTTTTCCAGGGAACAGAAAAAGGCATACTCAGCAACTCATTATACCAGGCCAGAATAAGCTCGAAACCAAAACTAGACAAGCAAAAGCAAACAGAAAGGAAATCTGCAAGTTAATCTTACTTATGAACATAGAAGCAAGAATCCAAAACAAAATATTAGCAAACTGGGTCTGACAATGTCTAAAAAATAAATACATCATGAACATACTGGGTGTATTCCAACAATGCAAAGTTTGTTTAATGTTAGAAAAATCCATCAAGTGATATTCACCACATTAACAGATTAAGGGAGGTAAAAATTACACTCTCAATAGATACAGAAAGAACCATTTGATAAAAATCTAACACCCATTTATGAAAAAAGTACTTAAAAACCAAGAAGAAAAGGAAATTTTTAAACATAAGAAAGTGTACGGCTTCCCTGGTGGCGCAGTGGTTGAGAGTCTGCCTGCCGATGCAGGGGACACGGGTTCATGCCCCGGTCTGGGAAGATCCCCCATGCCGCGGAGTGGCTGGGCCCGTGAGCCATGGCCGCTGAGCCTGCGCGTCCGGAGCCTGTGCTCCGCAACAGGAGAGGCCACAACAGTGAGAGGCCCACGTACCGCAAAAAAAAAAAAAAAAAAAAAAAAGGGTATCTACCAAAAACCTAGGGCTAACATCACTTTTAAAGATGAAACAGTTCCTTTAAAATCAGGAATAAGGAAAGGATGCCCACTATCCACAAAATTTTCATTATTTGTGAATGATATGACTGCCTACATAGAAGACCCAAAGAATCTACAGATAAATTATTAGAATTAATAAGACAGTATAGCAAGGTAGTTGGATATAAAATTAACAAAAAAGAATTGCACTTTATATGCAACACTTATATAATTTTTTAAAAATATCATTCACAGTAGCAACAAAAAATATCAAGTACCTAAGAATAAATGAATAAAATGTGGAAAAACTTCTGCCTCTGGCCATGATGGAGCGGTAGAGACCAGATCTCACATCTTGGCTGGTTTGTTAAAAAACAAACAAACAACAACAAAAAGAACTGGACAGAATATATGAAACAAGAGTTTTCAAGGCAGTGGCATCAGGCAACAAAGGAGGAATCTCTAAGAGAAGGGAAACAGATGAGGTGAAATTTACAACTGCCCCAGTTTACTGCCTTGAGAATTTCCAGATGACAGTGAAGAGAACCAATTTAGAGTCCAGAGGGCTCCCTGAGTTGAGAAGACGGGCTGGAAGAGACCAAAGTGGCTAGAGTTTGCAGGACAGAATAGTGGAGGAGTGAGCTACTCCTCAAGAGAAAACTCGGGAGATCTACAGAGGGTCCCACTCAAGTACCCAACAGAATGTTGATTAAAGAAATAAATGTGAAAGACAAAACTTTCATAAAAGGAAAGATAAATGTGACTTCATTACATTGTAAATCAAGTTTACTTCAATAAAAAAAGTGACTTCGTTAAAACATCTATTGCATGTTTGTTCAATAAAACACACCATCAAGGAAGAGAAAAGACAAGTCACAAACTGGGTGAAGATATTAGCCACATACTAAACAACATCTAGAATATATAAAGAATCCCTACAACTTGGTAACATAATATTGTAAATCAACCATACTTCAATTTAAAAAAAGAAGAGAATCCTTACAACTCGACAAGAAAAAGACAACCCAATAGAAATTTGGGCAAAAGACAAGAACAGGCATTTTGCAAAAGAGAAAACTGGAATGGCCAATAAACACATGAAAGATGCTCAATTTCACTGTTGGTCCAGAAGTAAAAATCAGGTTAAAGGAGAAACCATTTATAACTATTGGAGGGTCATAAATTAAGAACCCTTGAGCCGTAGAGCAATAGGAGCTGTTGGGAATGAAGACTGATATAATCACCTTGGAAAATAACTTGAATTTACATACACCCTGTGCTCCAGCAATTCCACGTCTAGATAAAAGGCCCTAGAGGGACTTTTCAAACACCTGCATCAGGAGACATTTAATAAGAATATTCAAAGCAATATTGTTTATAATTGCAAAAATAGAACCAGGGAACAATCCAAATGTGCACAGCAAGAAAATGGATAAATTATGGTAACTTAAAACAGTGAAAGCAATAGAACATACACATAACAAGTATGAACCTTAGAAACAATACTGAGTGAAAAAAAAGCAGGTTGCAGAAGAGTACATACAATAAAATACCATTGTATAAAGCTCAAAAACATTACATTATCTAGGCCAACGTGTATACGTGATCATGGTGAAACTCCTTTTTAAAAGGAAAGAGGGAATTCCCTGGTGGTTTAATGGTTAGGACTTGGCGCTTTCACTGAGGTGGCCTGGGTTCAATCCGTGGTCAGGGAACTAAGACCCCGCAAGCTGCACGGCGGGGCCAAAATAAAATAAAATAAAATTAAGAATAAAAAGAAAAGAAATGAAGAAATGATAATTTACAACAATCTAGAGATCAGTCACCTCTCGGGTGGAGTCACCTCTATGGAGAAGGATCCAGGAGGGATACACAGGGAGTTTGAATGGTTCCTAGTAACGTTCTGGTTCTTAAATTAGGTGGTAGGTGGTTCACTTTATTATTAAGCCTTCCTACACCTTACATCTATTGCATTTATCAAATACTACCGTACAAGATTTTTTAAAATGTGGGCCCAAAATAGGACTTATAAATAATGTCTTTATGCAAAATATTCTCAATGTAACATTAAACAATAATTTAAAGAATTTAGCTCTTCTCTCCCTGTTTCCCTCTCTCCCAAAACCAACAAATACTGGATTATCTTCTATGATTCCAATGATTATAAATAGTAAAGGCCAAGGAAACATCTTATGTTTGAGAGTTGTCATGGAATCAGATTTGCCGGAAAGAAAAAATTTATGTTCTCGACTGTCCACCAGAAGAAATACAAAGACAACATACACATATGTAAAATCAAGAACATTCCTTTATACCAGCAACAATCACAAAGCAAACACCATCAAAACATTCACAAAAGCCACAACAACCATTAGTGATTTTATTGAAGACTCATTCACAGGATTCTGACCAGCGAAGTGAGTATAACATACACCTTGAGTGCGGGACCTACACTGATCTTACTATGGGGTACCCCAGACGCCCTCTTGAGGCTTCACAGTTCTGTGCTTTCACCCCACCTGGACACTTTCTTTAAAAATGGAAGCAGGCCTCAGACTGTCCTCAGCCAATGCTCTCAGGCAACTGATTCCAGGGGCTCCACTTCCATTATCCCAGCAGCTCCTCTAATGCATTTCAATCACAAAGTGGGCCCTCGCTTCTTCCCTATCCCAGCTCCACCTTCATAAACTGTAACAGACCAACAGGAGTCCTCGAGGGTACAAAATATTTCTTTCCAGATGATTTTAAAAGAAAGGGTGAAAAAGATGCACTTGAGCTCTTATGCATCTGAGCTCCTATGGCTGAAACAATTTATCTGCAGATGTGCTCTGACCAGCTACACACTGATCTGTTCGTTATGCTGCAGTGACTGAAGCTTATGACTGTCTGAAGGCAGTGAGAAAAGGTGAATCTATCTGAAGCTGGAATCAGGGCTCTTTCCACTATGCTAAGCTGGTGCTTTAGCCCATAATTATAATAAACTATCTCAGATTCAGTGAAACCTCCAACTTTTTGAAATACTTTCTCTCGCAGATTCTATGCTGGTCTCTAAGACTTGAATCCGGGGGGTGAGGGGAAGAAAAATATCAAAATTAAAGTGACAATTTAAGGGAGTTGATTACTGGGAAAAAAATAGGACATTTTTATGATCCCAACAATGGGGGGTGGGTAACCTATCAGGGAGGAAATCATGAGTGGCAACAGCACAAATCATGCTGTAGGCCTCACCTATGTTTAGCATTATACTAGTAACATCAGGACACACTCAAGTGGGGTCCAGAGGGAGTCAAAGCACTTGAAATTTCATTTGAAATTTGCCCAGGGACAGTTTTTAGGAGTACCTGGAACTATGTCAGCCAGAATTTTCTAGGGAAGCGAGAGGGTTAGGTTTATATCCTGGGAGGTCCAGCCAACATGAGAACTACTTTCTGTTCTAGGTAGCCCTGGGAGCAGAAGTCAATCGATTTTTTGTCTTCCTTTGAGCTCTGCTGATTCCTGCTCGTTTGGCGTAAAAAGATAGGCTGCAGCAGATGTTCTCCAGCACTCCTCACACTCAACTTTAAGCCAAGAAAAAGATTTATAACAATGCTGAGGTACCTTTTAAGTGCTTCTAAGGGCTTTAACACTGTTTTGGGTAAGGGACAAAAAAACCTCAGAGAAACCATAAAACACAATCCACATGGCACCATAAAATCGCTTTGCACCGGGAATTCTGCCCTTAGACAAAACCACACAGTAATGAATACATAAATAACCACTTTCTGAGCCATCTACCAAAGACTGGGCTCTGCTGAGAGTAGGCAATGTCAGCCTGCGGGGAGAGGTGGCCGAGCTAGCCATGGCAAGTTCTTCACCTCCCAGCGACAGTACAAATCCTAGCTGGGGAGCGTCGGAAAACAGATCTTGCTTGTAAAAACCTCATCTGAAAGGCTGTGCAGCAAATATTCTACAAACAAGTATCAGACTATACTGCCAAAATGGTTAGAACAGCCGGTGGCATCTACGCTTCGGGCAGTATGTCTCTAAAAGACTTCAAGAGACAGGGCCCCTAAAGTCATTTGACCTACCATCTCTTATGACTATTTCCTGTGTGGCTGTGAAAGTTAAGGGGATGAAGCCTTCGCTATCAGCACAGAGAAGGATCCAGTGGGAGTCTGCAAAGTAAAATAAACACATAGGCAATTTAGAATATCCTGTCTTATTCTATAAAGAAAAATATGACAAATATGACTTTCCTGAGGAAAAGAATGTAGTAGTTGATGAACCTGACCATCACAAGACATTACAGAGAATGGGGAGATGGAGGGACCCGGTATACACTTAAGGTCAGGTTACATGGCAGCAAGGGGATGTTGATGACAGGCATAGCTAAGGGACATGTATTTTCACCCAGGTTAGGCATTAATCACTCAGTGCTATGCAGTTGAGCTTGTGTGTGCATGTGTGCACACAGGTGTTAGGGGCGTATGGTGTTCCTAACTTGTATACCAATACATGCTGTTAAGCAGCTTCTCCAGACACTATGTGAAGTTGGGAACAGCTACTCTTTGGAGGAAACTTCTATATTCTTGAGATCCGTACCAGCCTCTAGACACCCAAGGAGGCTGAGCTGACTAGAGGTAGACTAGAATGGCCCAGATAATCCTAAATAGTTTGTTCTGGGGTAACCTAGGGCCACTAGCATAATACATACCTGGACTTTCTCTGGTTCTTTCGAGTCTACTGTGTCTCACCTGTTGACCCTGTAATTTCACTTCTAAAAATCTACACTTTCCAAAAACATGTAAAATATGCAGAGAGGTTTTTATTACGGTTATTTATGATAATGAAAAATTGGAAACCACCTAAGTGTCAAAGAAAACATGGCCAAGTAAAATATGGTATTAAAAGAGTAAATCCTCATCACAAGGAAAAAAAGTTTTTTCTATCTATATGAGATGATGGATGTTCAATAACTTACGGTGATAATCATTTCATGATGCATTTAAGTCAAATCATTATGTTGTACACTTTAAATTTATACAGTGCTGTATGTCAATTATATCTCAATAAAACTGGAAGGAAAAAAATATATGGTACGCCCAGGATAGACTATTAACCCAGTAAAAATAACAGTTATGAAGTCGTATCATAAATGCATGTGTCAAAATAGAAAAATGCTGATGCTACAATGTTAAGGGGGAAAAGATGAAACAAAATTCTATGTTCAGTGTAGTGGGTGTCCTGAAGACTCAGGCATAAGAAAACTGCCATGCTCTCCATTGGATGGAACACAGGCATGACTCAGTCCCTTGCCACCTAGGAGTACCCTTCATGTCCACAAGTCTGCTGCATATTAAAATGACAATTCCTTTAAGAAAGATTCTGTGGGAGTTCCCTGGTGGCCTAGTGGCTAGAATTCTGGGCTTTCACTGCCATGGCCAGGGTTCAGTCCCTGGTCGGGGAACTGAGATCCTACAAGCTGCATGGCCAAAAAGAAAAAAGAAAACAACAAGGTCTACTGTATAGCACAGAGAACTATATTCAGTGTCCTGTGATAAACCATAGTGGAAAAGAATATTAAAAAAAAAATGTATATATAAAACACCCACCCACACACACAAAAGAAATATTCTGCAATGCTGTGATCTTTATGTTTTAGTGCAACAAGTATATATGAGGTTTTTATGTTATTTCCTTGCAGCTGTTATATATTGCTTCATAACTCTATTTGGTTTTTTCATGTGTACATTTAGGTTTTCCAGCTAGGTTGTAAGTTCCTTAAGGGTAGAACCCATATTTTCCATGTATTTTGGCACCTATAATAGGCCTGGGCATACAATAGGCAATTAATAATACTTTTTAACTATCTAGTGAATCACTGAATGGTTGGTACACTTCATTTTCCTCACCAGCGAAAGTTACATAATAGAGGGAGGGGGTGTCAGGTAGAGTCAATTTCTGAATTTTACCTACCATGTAGCATTTCAATAAGAGAGAGGCCAAAAGTCTGCTGGACTGTACTGAGTCTTAGCTTGCCGTTGCAGAGAAGCACAGCTCTTTTTTCTACAACAGGACCTAAAAAATAAGATTTCTTCAAATATAAAAATAAAAGTTGTTAAACTGATTACAGAAGCAACGGAGTTAACATTTCCTAAGAATAGAATGTGTAGTTTTAAAAATTCCTATTACCGCTATCAACTAAACTTCAGCTTTAAAAATAAGGAGCTTTTTGCTGCATCATTTAACACAACTAAAGAATCAGACAAAACACAACCCCTAATTTCCTTTTGCTCTGTTCTTCCCCAGCGTTATGTCCTTATTGCTAGGAACTGGCTTTCCTAGGACGTGACTAATAACACTATAGGATGATGGTTGGCAGCCTGAGAGATAAAATCTGATGGTGAGGAACAACTGCTTGGCTGTTGTAGAAACAGGTGTACCTTGGAGATACCGCAGGTGTGGTTCCAGACCACTGCAATAAAGCTAGTATCACAATAAAGTGAGCCACATGAAAGTTTTTGGTTTCCTAATGCATATTCTATAGTCCATTTAAGTGTGCAGATGCATATGTCTAATAAAATAATGTACATACCTTAACTTAAAAATGCTTTATTGCTAAAAAATGCTATCATCTGACAATGTAGGGTTGCCAAAAACCTTCAATCTGTAAAAAACACAATCTCTCTGAAGTGCAATAAGACTAGGTATGCCTGTATAACTAAGAAGTTTTACGTTTTCTTTATTGGGGAAAAAATGCCAAGAAAGACTGCCCTAAGTCGTGGAGTAGCAGAGGATTTGCATAAGTAAAATAAACAAACTGTGGTAAAAATTCACTTAGCTTAGAAAAATAACAGTGATTTTTAAATTTTAAAAAGTTATATTAAAAATTAATGCATCTTTGAAAATGTTTGCAAATATCCATACAGAAAGAAAATATAGAACAATTATAGCTCTATTTTAAGACACATCAAGTCCAAAGGTATATTCATAGAACATAGAATAAAAAATGTAACTTCTAATTCTATATTATGAGACAATATCTTCATGTAAGCATTTCTTAAAGTTTTATAAGTTATGTGTCTAACTTATTTTCTTGTTAAAGTTATCACTACTCATTTCTGACTACTAAGAAAAATAATTTCAACAATAAAAGGTAAACTGTACTCCATTTTTGATACGATGAACAGCTCAAAAGATGTATGTCTACTATGTAATAACATTTTAAAAGATAGCACATGAATAAACTGTAAGGGCCATAAGCAACTAATCATTCATCTTAACTCTTATGAAATGTTGCTTCTGATATTATAGGGGGAAAAACTCTTCATTGCTTTTATTTTGTTTTTCTTTTCTCATTAAAAAAGAAATATATGCTCAACATAAAGAAAACAGAAATTTGTAATGCAGAAAGTCAAGTCCCCAAAATTCTACCTCCAGAAGTACTTACTGATAACAGCTTGGCTGAACTAGCTCATTATAAACGGAGAAAAGGAAGAATTGAAAGGCAAAAAACACATTTCTTTTTACTTAAAAAAATGCATTTACAAATATAAATATTTGTAAAAAAGTATATATTGTTTGATAAAATAATCTATTTAGGGACTTCCCTGGTGGTGCAGTAGTTAAGAATCCACCTGCCAATGCAGGCGACACGGGCTTAAGCCCTGGTCCGAGAAGATCCCACATGCCGCGGAGCAACTAAGCCCGTGCGCCACAACTACTGAGCTCGCATGCCACAACTACTGAAGCCTGTGCACCTAGAGCCCGTGCTCTGCAACGAGAAGCCGCCACAATGAGAAGCCCGAGCACCGCAACAAAGAGTAGCCCCTGCTCGCCGCAACAAGAGAAAGCCTGTGTGCAGTAATGAAGACCCAACGCAGCCAAAAATAAATAAATAATCTATTTAAAGAAAAATAAAATCAAACAATTAGACATTATATCTTTTAGATCGACAAAGGTTTTAGAAAATGCATAGAAAAAAATGGAATAAATACTTCCATTACTAACTATACCTGTGGTTTTCTCTACGGGTTTGGTTATGAAGAATTTTTACTTTCAACATTAAATATTCTTGGGAATTCCCTGTGGTCCAGTGATTAGGACTCTGCGCTTTCACTGCTGAAAGCCCAGGTTCGATCCCTGGTTGGGGAACTAAGATCCCACAAGCCACACAGGGTGGCCAAAAAACCCAATAAACAAACATTAAATATGCTTATATTAAAAAACCAATAAACATTAAATATACTTAAATATGCTTATATTGGTTAAATTTTTTCTTCAATGAGCATACATTACTTTTGTAATTAGGAAAAAAAATACTGTGCATCTGTTAAAAAAATTTAAAAAGCTGTGTGCTGACAGAGTTCTTGAGACTATGTAACTAAATGGAAAAAGATGCAGAACATTGTATATAGTACCTTACCTTTTGTGTAACAAAAGGAAAAATAAAAATAAATAGTAAGATCTGCTAATATCTGAATAAAGTAATAAAAATAAAAATGGTTACCTATATGAGGTGAAGGGAACAAGCTGAACAAGGATGGGGTGAAACTAAGACTTCTCAGTATATACCTTTCTATTGCAAGAATGTTTTGTTTTTTAAAGCAAGTAAATGAACTGCCTATTCAAAATGAGAAATAAAAAGGGAAAAAAGAAAAAATATTTGAAAAGTCATGGAAGGAAAAAAAAAATCCAAACTAGATTTCACACTTATAAAGTACTATAATTTTTAAAAATAAAAAATCTGTTTATTGAAAATACACTGAAAACTTCATGTAGTTAATAAAGCCATTTAAATATTTTGGCTGAAGACAATGTGGGAAAAATCCTCTTCAAAAATCTAGGATTGGGATGTTAAATGTTTATAAATATTTGTTTCAATTAGCTTTGGTACATAATATAACTAAGATCACTAATGTGCTTGTGAAATTAATTAAAAAATTTTTTTTATATCAGTGACTTAACTGATTTTTAACTGATTTATTTGTGATTTAACCGGTTTGGGGGACAATTTAGGAATTTGAATAAGAAGTAGGTATTAGATGATATTAAGTAATGTTAATGTTATCAAGTATGGTAATGGTACAGTGATAATTAAAGAAAATGTGCTTACACTTTAGAACAACATCCCAAAATACTTATGGGTGAAACACCATGATGCCTCTACTTAGAAAAATATTTTAGGAAACAAGAAAAGGAAGCAATTATGGTAAAATGTTAACAACCATTAAACCAGGTGATAGATATAGATAGGGTTTCATTAGGTATTCTTTCTATATGTTTACAATTTTTTCATAATTAAAAATATATTTTATGTGTTTGAAATTTTTTATACTAAAAAAATTTTAGGGCTCCCCTGGTGGCGCAGTGGTTGAGAGTCCGCCTGCCGATGCAGGGGACACGGGTTTGTGCCCCGGTCCGGGAAGATCCCACATGCCGCGGAGCGGCTAGGCCCGTGAGCCATGGCCGCTGAGCCTGTGCGTCCGGAGGCTGTGCTCTGCAACGGGAGAGGCCACAGCAGTGAGAGGCCCATGTACCGCAAAAAAATAAAAAATAAAAAAAATAATGTAAAAACAATATAGTAAAATAATTCAAGAAAATCTAGACTATTACATATATATCAATTTCTATAATATAAAAAAAACTCTTTTAAACTGATAACTCAATAGGAAAAAATGAGCAAAACGCAATTCACATTCAGTTGGCCAAAAAACATGACAACATACTCAAATTCACTAATAGTAAAGGAAATACAAATTAATAAAAGTGAAATACCACTTTGCACTCATCAGATTGGTAAGGAAGTGAGGAAAAGGACAGTCTCATTGGTCGCTGATGGACATGTGATGATGCACTGTTTAGTAAAAAATCTTTGAAAGGCAATCTGTCAACTCTATTAAAAGTAGAAGCATATATATATGTGTGTATATATATACTCTTCAAACTTGCACTTCCACTTCTGGGAACCAAGCCAACAGAAATAAAAGTATGAATACAAATAGATACATATGAGAATACTATTGCAGCACCATTTGGAGTGCCTAAGAACTGAAAACAAAGTGAATGTCCATCAGCAAGGGAAAGGCTGAATAAACAGCATACTCCCAGCATGAAGTAAAGAATGCACCATACGACCCCATTTTTGTAAAACAATGACAAAGTCACCACCAACACCCCCCGCACCTATATACCTACGTATACAAAGACCTCTGTAAGATTATATGAGCGTGAAGTAAAATATGAAAGGATCCACATTAAGCTGCTAGTTAAAGTGGGTTACAGGGAGGAGGAGCAGGGCCAAGTGTGACGGGAAAGGAAAGTGTTCATGATAAAAACGGATATGGTATGATCCCACTATATAATATTTTATGTTGGCGTATACAGGCATAAACAGATGCATTAAAAATTTTTAATGACTATAACCTCTCTTTTAACAGCATATTATAAGATGCTGTTATAATCTTATGCTGTTATGCTATTATAAGCTCTCTTATAAATAGAAGAGTGTCTGCAATTGCATAAGGAAAAGGTTTTCGCAATGAAACAGCATGAATTAAAAAAATTTTTTTCTAAACATAGCGTGCCAGAATGAGCGCAATCATTCATGTTTTCACACCATGCACATGATAAAATCACGGTGTATACTGGTATGTGTGCCCATCCAACCAACCTGGAAAGGTATAACAACTTGCCTGAATATAACATGTCCAGATCAGTGAAGTTCAACTAGAATACTACTTCCTCATTAATAAATTTCTCTTGCAGTACCTACTGGCTGCAGGAGCCAGTGGCAGCTCCTCAAAGGAGAAGTTACCTGGCAAGTGATGTGAACATAAGGCACATCCTGAGAGAGTGGGTACACTGGAGAGGATTTCTTTCCATTATGTAGAAAGTCTGTGAGTTCAGAAAGACGCTGCTGCACTTCAATCAGGTTCCTAGATAAAATTTCCAGTATCTTAGATAGCTGATAATTTTCCTTTTCCACTTGTAAGTTAGGAGATCCCGCGGTACTGCTGTGGTCTGGTGTGCCGCTGGGTCCGGGCAGTGTTACCGACTGGTTAACAGGCCCGGCATCTAGAGTTTCTAGGGCTGTGGAGCCATCACAGATACTGGATGGAGGACTTCTGATTTCTTGAATAAGGGTTCTTCCAGGCCTTCCACTTTGACTGCTGCTATTAGCTGTTAACAAGAGCCCTCCGTTTTGGTGACAAAAATCTGGGGAAAGACTTTCAATTAGCTTTTTTCTATTTGCTTTATTTAACAGAGTACTGAAAGCAGAGTGACCGCTCTGGTTTTCACTCAGTGTCACTGGAGAGTCTTCTTCCAACATAACTTCTCTAACAATCAAACGAATCATATACTGATCAGACTTTGAAGAAAGAAGAAATGCTGAATCAGTGGATTTCTGTTTTCCTATCAAAATTAACAATAATTTATCTGTCAAGAAACATATGCCTTTTGGTCTTTCATTACTCTCTAACTGAATTTGCTGGATGTTTGGCATAAATGATGGAATGACAGAATAGATAAAAATTATATTACACGTATTGGAAGCCACTGCGACTACCTGTGCTTTAAGATTAAACGCCATTAGATCA